TGACTTTGAGTGTAGTTTTAGGCACACCGATTCAAAATTTGCACAGCTCACCAGTTGTGATAATTGAGAGTTTGTTGATTTAATGGTATCAGTACATACATGTAAATGGTGAAATCAATGAATTCGCGTAAAATAAGAACAACGATTCAAGCATAATAACATGAGTCCGTTATATTCTAGCGATCTCACCTTCACTTGAGCTTGTATGCGTTTATGTTTATTATGACCTCTGAATAACTTACTTCATAGGTAGTCTCACTTGTGTCCTTAACTATTTGCCTATATCTTTACTTTATCATTAACATGCTTGTGTGAGTATGTGTGACTAATCACCAGTTACAACCAACATATATACACATCTTAGAAGGTTATATGCTATTTACTTAAAGAGCGCGATGACGTACTTGCATACTTATATATCTGAGTATCATAATTTCTAATCGCTCACGTGTATTTGGAATTCTTCTTCTTTACACGATTATTATTATAATTATTATTATTATTGTAATTAATAATAATAATAATGTTGTTCGAATTCACCCTTGTTCGTATCGGCATCGGGTACTTGATGAAATTTAATTAAATTTTGATGAGAGTTAAAATTGGAGACAGTAAAGGGATACGCTATGCATAATGACATGATCGATTTGTCTCGGAGTGCTCGATTTCGAAATCATTAATTTGTAACTGAAAATGACCTCATTGAATGTATCCAACGGAAAATTGACGTAAATACGTGTTTTCACAAATAACTGTTTAACAACTAAATGTCATTAATATGATGATAATTCACCAATTATGGTGTTGACTATAATTTATACTGTATGTTTACGTGCGAAATCTAAGTTGTGGTCAGCTGGTGATGAGAGGTCACAATCACCCTGACTTTCACTTGTCTTTGTAAATGGGTTTATATTCGAAAAGTATAAAGTAGATTTTCTGATGTATCAAAGAAGTGAATAGTAGTTTCCCTGTATCACACAGTAACGTTTCTTCGAAACATTTAATATAGTCACTGAATATCTACTCTTCTTTACATTGAGAAATCAAAATGTTGAAAGATTTTGAGGAAAATTATAGTCACTTGGAACAACCTAGTTATTTTTCAAAGTATCCCAACTTACACGTCTCTGTCATCGATAATATTATTACGGATTGAAATAGTGTGTGATATACAATTAAAGTAGACCATATAAGAAACATTGATACACTCAGTGGAATGAAATTATCTAATATTGCTTTGTTTTGTGTTACAGGGAGATGATAATAAATCGTATCTCATATCTTCCTATTTCAATGGACCAAGAGGTATATTGGATGCACCTCGATCGGATCCGGCAACAGAAGATAGATTTGCAAGCAACTATACCGCAGAATCATTAGTGAGACTCAGTTTTTCTACACACAGTGCTGAGGATGTACCGATTTATGCTAATGGACCTTACAGTGAACTATTTCATTCTTCATTGGATAACACATTTATTGCACATGCAACCATGTACTCGCTTTGTATCGGACCATACACGAATCAGTCACATTGTGACGAAGGAAACAATGGATCTCAACTCAGAGGACTTCATCTGAATAACTTTTATTATTTACTATTTCTCGGTGTTATTTTGTACACTTTCATACATTAGTGCATATTTTGTGGTATTTTGTTCAAATTATTAATTTCATGTGTTTCATGTAAGCATTTTTGTTATTTGTAATATTTATCAGGTTAGATTAGATAAGAATTCATTAAATGATTTATGGATATACAAACATTTATTTTTCAATTAATGAGGTGATTGTTTACTACTAATTAGGGTTACTTTGGCTTTTGACATTCGTATTGATGGAATATTCGCACAAAATTAGTTTTGAAACAGAATGTCACATGCAGAGATGTGGGTAATTTTATAATCAGAATTATTCGAATTTATGTATTTACTGAGAATTCCAGAAATACTGCGTTTTAAGGAAGGTAGAACTAGATGAGCACAAATGAACATATTATATTTGTAATTCGTAATCAGTGCACAAATAAATACATTTAAATCATTAGTTCTTGCAAATACCACAGTCGTGTAATTAATGTTCGTAATATCTGAGCCTGATTGGTAATGAAGACGTTCGAGGAATTACAGAAACTACATCTGGTTTTTTATCATTGATGTATTTGTACCCTAACTTCGTAGTTTCATCATCTAAAACAATGTAAAAACATATAATAAACAATAAATGATCAGGAATTTAGATAACAGATCATAGCAGTAGTTCCATGATTACTCATTGAATTAGTTAAGGTAAGAATTATGTTGTGAGGGGAAGTGAATTAAGTATTTATTATTATTACTATTAATGACTTTGTTCAATATTATATATTTTGATACAATATAGAAATTCTCAACACAGGGTATTTCAACAAGTTTCCTACACAAAAAACAGAAACAAAGACAAAAAAGGGAAAATCGGTTTAAAAAAATCTGAAAAAACTGTACAACTTTTCAAATTAGAGACATGTTAAGAATGCAAGTTATTGACTAGATTAACTCTAATAATTTGTTCGTCGCAGAGTATATTTGCTAGGTAAGGTATAGAACTTTTATACTTTTGTTTGCGTGCATGGATTTTAATGTAATTACTTCTCGTTCTACCAGAAGATATACAAGGAGAAATATATGAATAAAGATGGATGGTACCTAATAAAATAACAACTGCCAGGAGTTTGCATGACTCTAGATGTCGATCCACAACCACATTAATTATGACCTCGAAAGATTCACCACACGTCTTGCTAACTGCCTTCAGCACTCAGCAAACTCTTTTCTCAAAAGCCCGGGAAAGAATAATGGAGAACAGTAAAGAATAATATGTAATATTCAAGAATTGACAAATCGTAAGAATAAATGACGAGTGATCCCAAGAGCATTCAATCTCTTTATGTAGTAGGTCAGACGGAAAACCTTCTTCGATAACAATAAAACGTGAGAAGACCAAGAGAGATCAGAGGAAAAGGTGACACCAAGATAATTGACCTTCGACACAGTGTTTATAAAAGAATCTCCAATGGTACAAGCCTTATGGGATCTCAAAATGGTGTTTAGATTCCGTTCATGTCTCATGCTAAAGTTAAAAGGTTGACATTTAGACGGATTAAGTATGAGACCATTATCAACAGACCAACAATCAATACGAGACAAAAACTCATTCATTTCTATAGGATGTAAAGAGGAAGATATAGGCATACATACAGTGAGATCATCCGCATATTTCACAAAGTGTTTTGTGTGGAAGATGTCAGATCATGTAGAAAAAAGAGAAAAGAAGAGGTGAAAGAACAGCTCCTTGTGGTGCACCTTCATGAGACAGTAGAGACTGAACACTTTCTTCCAAATACAGTGTACTGTTCCCTTCCAGAGAGGTAGGAACATAGCCAGTTGGTTATCCAGCTGTCAATGTTGACGCTGATCAACTTGTTAAGTAAACGTTGTCTTGGTATAGAATCAAAAGCTGAATTATAGTCCAGAATAGCACATCGAACATACTTCTTATCCTTTTCTAAGTTGAACACTATATTGCGATGCAGAACAGCAACAGCATCTAAGGTACTTCTTTTGCGTCTGTAATCAAACTGATATCGATCAATATGCTCTTTTATTGCAGGCTGAAGTGGAAGTATTAATGATTTTTCCATTGTTTTGAGGAAAGGTGAAGTTATTGCAATAGGTCTAAATTTTACATTCCTATCACCAAATGCTTTCATCGGTACAGGAATTATCTTCATCTTTCTCCACATTTTCGGTATGAGATTAGTTGAGAAGGATCTGTTAAAGATAGTTATGAACGGATAACATAGGACGTCAGCACACTTTTTAAAAAGGATGTTAGGAATACCATCAGGTCCCAAACATCAAGATGAATTAAGCGACTGGAGACATCTTCGGACATCAGTTTCAGTGAAACTAGGAACACAGCTATTCTTTAAACCTTTGGTTAAAGGGAGCATCATATCAGATGACTGACGTACAAAAGACTTATTTAAGTCAAAAACATTCAGCTGTTTATCGCTCCTAATCTGTATGTCACCTGTAAGTTCTTTAAAGAGTTTCCACATACTTGGAGAGTTTTTGCAAGACAAGAGTTTTTGAGTAAACATACAGTTGAGACGTCTAATCTCTAGGTTTATCAGACCATTTAGCTTACGAACTTCATTAGAGTTGTTCTCCTTGTACATTCTTTCTTTCACCCTCCGTAGTCGTTTTAGTTATGAAGATGTAAGTCGATCAAAACTTACAAAGATGGTTTCAGTGGGACAACAAATATCAAAACAGAATTTTAGGTAACAAGTGGTAACATCAGTAGTGATTTCCAGTGAGTCATCTGTAAATAACTACCAGTTAGTCGTATGAAACATGTTTTTCAGATTTCGGATATTTTCTTCTGAGTAATTTCTATATTTGTCTCTCTTGGTTTGATGTAAGAGTGTACTCTTACCATGCTTCCCATTTACTTTAGGTAGAACACGAATTATACATTGATCTGAGCTAGGCAATGCAGCACGTTTACGAGTCACATATATACCCACATCATTAATAAAAACTAAGTCTAAATGATCATCCAAACGAGTAGTAAAATCTACTAATTTTAGTGACCTAGTGACGTGAGGAAGCTACTGTCACATGAACTGAAATCACCACATACAACTGCAAGTGAATCACTGAAGGCAGTAACAGAGAACTCAGTGAATTCATCAGCGAAAACAGATAGCGCAGATGATTTGCAGTCTGAAGTCACGTAGATATTGGTAACATAAACATATTTGTATTTATTCAGATGTTTTGGATGACATCTTAGAGTCAGACAGTCGATAAAGTCATTTGAAAACTTGAAACACACAAACGAAGATCGACATCAGTTCACGTTTACAAACGTAGCTACACCGCCGCCACACCTCTTTTGATTCTTCGATCGATCCTGATGATAAATTTTGAAATCACGTACTGATACTAGGCGGCAAGGTTTAAACGTTAGGTCCTTTTGAAATGTGCCCGCTCTTTCGTTTCAACGACCTTGAACGGCTTGACTAGAGGCGGTCATTCCGTATTTCAATTGCCGTGGGTTGGTTGGATTGTATGAGTACCAAGTTTTTTCATATATAAGTCATGTTATGCTACATAAAAAAGCACGAAATAAATACCAAAACCATTAATTTAGCGTTCTCTGTTTTGTAGTATACACGTTGGCTCTGTTGTTGCTTTGTAATTTGATCTTTGATCCCTTTGATCCCAAAGGTGGTCGACGCAATGAACCTTCAAGTTACCGGCCGGTAGCTCTTCTGTCGTTACCTTCAAAACTCATGGAGTCCCTGATATGCGACGGTCTAAATGACTACCTACTGTCCTTAAATTTCTTCTCACCCCAACAGCATGGTTTCAGGAAGGGTTACTCTTGTATAACCAACCTGCTGACTGCGGTGGACAGATGGACAAGCATCCTCGATCGCAAGGGAAAGGTTGATGTCATTTACCTTGATTTCTCAAAAGCTTTTGATAAGGTTAACCACTTGTGTCTTATCAACAAGCTCAAACGACTAGGTATCAAACCACCTCTAATCGACTGGCTTACTTCATACCTAAAAAATCGACACTTTAAGGTTAGGGTTAATTTCACTTTATCTCAAGCTATGGAATGTCCTAGTGGGGTCCCCCAGGGCTCAGTACTAGGGCCTCTTCTCTTCTTGATCTACATAAATGATCTTCCTCAACAGGTAACGTCAGACTTACTACTTTTTGCAGACGACGTGAAACTTTGGAGAGAGATACGCAACCAAGACGATATACAGGCACTTCAAGAGGATCTGACTCGACTTCAAAGTTGGGCAGACGATAACGGACTTACCTTTAACACTTCAAAGTGTAAAGTAGTCCATCTGCGACATGTCGCAAACTACAGTTACAACTTAGGAAACTCCTCTCTAGTAGTATCCCAAGTCGAAAAAGATTTAGGAGTCCTGGTGCCCCATGACTTAAAGTCTTGCGCTAACTGTGACAAAAATGCCTTCCGAGCAAACCTTGCACTGGTAACGTTGAGGCGCATTTTTGGCCAGTTTGACGGAAGAACTTTCCACACAATCTTCAATAGTTTCATCCGTCCCCATTTAGAGTACGGAAACATAGTACTCCCCCCCTCACTCCAAAAGGACAAGGTCACTTTGGAGCGTATCCAACGGCGAGCCACGAAATCAGTTCGAGGACTCAAATCTAAGCCTTACGAAGAACGCCTCCGTTCACTAGACCTTTACCCACTAGAATATAGGCGTCTTAGAGGTGATTTATTAATGGCTTATAGTATTCTTAACACTTCTGGACATCCTCTTAAACACCTACTTAAGCTTAGTTCGAACAATAACCTAAGGGGTAACACCCAGAAACTGGAAACACAACATAGCAAGACGGAATGTAGACACAACTTCTACTCCTTAAGAGTTGTCAAAAGCTGGAACTCGCTGCCGGCCGAGCTAGTCCAAGCGACTTCTCAGGAGTCCTTCAAGAGGCAACTTGACCTATTCTTAAGGACCAAGGACAGCATCGCACTATGATTTACCAATTTCTTTTCCTCTTTTATTGTTAACATACCTAGGTTCCTGCCTGGAGGATTTGGTGATCCCCTGCTACTAGACACGGAAGCCTGTTAAGCGAAAGCTTCTTCTATTCCGTCCACAACCATTTGAACCATTTGAACAACTGTAGTAAAGCTCAACGAAATGTCAAGTCACAGGTAAATCCTAAGTATTTGTAGTATTTTCTTCGGTTATTATTGTCGCAAGGAATAACCTTTTAATAATTAGTCATTTCTGTTTTTAGTGCTTCATGCTCAAGTGACATTTCAGTCGACCTAACCGATGCCTTTCGAAGTATGAACAAGCGTTTCGTCTTGTGGGATGATTTTGAAAGCGCCTTAAAAGAGTTCCAAAAAGTATGGAATTATAATTTTATCGCTTCTCAGACTACTTATACTCGTTACATCCACACAGAAAGCAGATTGCTGAAGGATGTCAGGTTCAAATACCTGTTTGTATCATTTAATTGTACGTTTGGTCATAAGAGGAAATCGGAAGGTTTGAAAGTGAGGCAAAAATCGTAAGATCTTTAACTAATATCTTATGTTTAAGGTCTAAATTCCGTAATTGTCGATCTAAATTTCGTGTAAGACTAGAGGAGCAAGGATATGTCATCAAATCCTACAACATGCTCCACAATCATCCATGTAGTAGTTCATGGATGGTATGTGATCCATTGACAAGGAGATTATCGTCAGAAGAAAAAGAGAACTTGAAGCCCGTAATACTTCACTGTGAGTCAGCAGATGAAGTTATCGAAAGCATTAAGGAGAGAACTGGTAAGCAAGCAACTGCTGCCGATGTCAAAGGTATGAAAGCTACACTCTCCACTGGTAAGTGTATATAAATATATTTCAGGTTGTTTTACTCGGAACCAGGTAATGGATATGCTTAGACAGAGAGGCGAAGTGAAGGAACATTTAGAAAATGGATATGCCACTAGAATATGTTTCAGTAGTTCTAACCAAATACAACTGTACAGAAAATATCCAGAAGTTGTGTGCATTGATTCTACGTATAATACTAATAATAAAAAGTGAATATGTTTATCGTTGTATTTTACTATGTAGATATTCCTTATTCCAGTTAGTAGTGACGGATAATTGCGGTCGAGGTCGAACTGTAATGTTTGCATGGACTCGAAGGGAAAAGCGTGCTGATGTTATATGGATTCTAGATCAATTCAAAGAGATAATGGGGGATACAATGTTGACTGAAACATTTGTGATGGACTGCGCAAGATGTGAAAGCGCGGCTGTCCGTATGACACACGGACATGCAAACATAATTTTGTGCGCCTTTCATGTAATTCGCGCTTTCCGGAAAAAGGTACACCAATGGTTACTTACATAAAATTGCCCTTAGACAAACGACAAAATAATGAAAGCCTACTTAACTCGATTGGTAACTGCGGAGACGGTTGAAAGATAATTTTTGTAATGTGTTTATTCAATAGATTTAATCAATATTACAGAATAATAAATCGACGGGACAGATTGATAGGTCAGTACCTGTCACGTTTTTGGATGGCACGTAAGACGATGTGGGCGCGTGCCTTTTACGGTCATGTTTTAACATTGGGTAACAACACGAATAATCGTGTTGAATCGCTGAATAGGCAAATTAAACGATATGTACGCAAAAGTGATAGTCTGTACAAGTGTATGTACAAGGCTTTAAAATGGAGTGATATGACGTCAGCTAGAAGAAGTATCGAAGATCAAGTGATAGCCGGAAGATCTTATAAATATAATGCTCCTCAGCGTCTTACACCCCTGCTAAACATTTTAACCCCATTCGCTAGATCTAAATTGTTATACGAACTTAAACAAATGCGTTTTGTCTACGTGGAATATGAAAGCGGTGATTGGTTGTTTATGGTTGATCGCGGACAACATTATGAAGTTGATATAAGCATTTGTCAATGCAATTGTAGCACGTTTATGATGTGACGATATCCCTGCCGTCACATGCTACTTGCCTACGTTAAAAGACGAAATCTTACAGGTAAGCTATATCAATTATGAAATACTAACTGCATAGCTCATCAACTTCTTAGGTATTGTAGCAGATGGAAGTTACATATTACCCAGAACTTCCAAAATTATACATTAACTGCATTAACACAACGGAGTGAAGTGTATATAAGTATTCAACGAAGTCGAAGAATCCATAAGCAACGCATCATTGAGAAGTATGATGAACGTTTCGCAACGGAAGTTGAGAAGAAGGTGGACAATTATTACTTAAGAATTCTTAATACCAACTTGTAAACTTGATTTTCTGCTTTAGCAGCAATGATTATTCAATAAACTGTCATAATTTTAATTTTCACCTTATTCCTAGTTTCATGGGAATAAATAGCAATGACGTTCATGTGTAACTGTTTGTAATAATTAAGAATGATTCAGAAACCCTACATCCACGTACAATTTTGCAGATTAGGCACCCACATATCATATTCACCTTCGTCGGATTACGTTTATAATTAAAATCGTATCAGTAGCTAAGATTTTAATTCCATGTGATTAGTTCCGCTTATGAATTAAAATGAAACCAGGATAAATGTTGATTAACAGTGGTATGCATTCGTTATAACTAAATATGCATTAGGATTTAACAGTGATGTGGGAAACAGTTGACATACCTTAATATGAATAATTGAAATGACGTGGGTTATCAATAATGACTATATATATATATATATATATATATATATATATATATATATGCAGTTTAAGGTCAAAGGTCATTTGTTTTTACAGTCAATAACACATTAAGAATGGGTGGTGTAATAGTGGACTGGAGTTCACAGACAGATAAGTGGTGTGAAAATCTTATGGCCTATAAGTGATCCGTGGATTTAAGAACTGAAAACTTGGGACACGTAATAACTTATTACAATTTGAAGAGGTCACATAATTACAGAGGATTAAGTGAGCAGATGTAAGTGACAGGGTGCTGGAATAAATCGGCAACTAAATTTTAAAAGTGAAATGAATTAATACATAATCCATCTTATTACTTGTTCACTCCATGGATTATAAGGAGTTCATATTATTCTATATCTATATTTGTTCTAGCGTCATATCGACTATTAATAAAGACGGACACGGTTTATAAAGACAATAAGTGTAGTTGCTATATTTATATTTCACTAATTCATTAGTTGAATAAAAATGTTACTAGGCAATACGGAACACAGTTAACGTGAACATGTAAACCGTTTTTTAACAAATTCTGTAAGTTGTAGACCGGCGTAAACATCACAAACTTTTGACGACTTTATTGGATTCATACAATTCTGAAAAAACAAACAAATCAGTTGTGAAATAAAGAATTATACCTAGTTATAAGTATCACATTCAATAAGTACATCAAATAGCAGGTTACAGAATGTACCTATAAGTCTCTTATTTGCAGACAGCGCTAATCATTAGAGATTTCTATTTCCTTTAATAAAAATTAATAGGTAATCTTTACAACACACAAATCAATGTTATTTAAAAATTGCTGAAATCAGTTTCGTCACAACAAAGAAGCGTGGTCTGAATTATGAAGAAAATGTTATTCATTAATGTGGCATAAACGAGATATGAATACAAGGAACTTGTGATTCTGCTTCCATTGCTCATTCACTTTTCGTCCCGTTGTCTGCATGAATTACTTCGGACGAGTCAGTCTGTAATACAGTAGGAATTCATGAATTAACTCATGAATAGTTGTTTTTTATTCAAGTCTGTGTCGTAACAAGCACGGGGAATTTATTCAGTGTCTAACCCTTGTATTATTTCGTACATACATCTGGTATTAGCAAGAAAAATTGGTAGGTACCATTTAGATATTACTCGACAATATGCATCATAAGTTTGTTCACATTTTCGTCTGAGACTGTGCATTTCGTTTACAGAAAATTATTCGTCAACCCTATAACAGACACATCATGAATCAATATTAAGTACGACATGGTTTTGTCACTATGCTCAGAAGAGACAGCCATCGTTTCACTTATGAAGATTTTGTGCCTATTTAATGTGGTGTTATACACTGTTCCTGTATACGTTCAGAAAGCCGGTAACAAAGACTATCAACATCAATTCTTACTCACATAATTTTTCTCTGATACGTTACACAATAATATGTCACTTCAATACCAAACAATGCTACCTTTAGTGCAAATAACCTTTTATGGCTAAATACAAACAATTTATATAATATCCATAGTTAGTTTAATGCTTACTTCTTTCTGATAACATCTTATAAACGACTGCGAACATCTATGTTTGCTGTCACCATAATCAAGGAGGTGAACCATATATAATGCTTTTCACGGCTTATTTTCATGAAAAGTCAATCTGTTTTCTATCAAAGCTCATTGTTTTAGGTCAGTTGTCAGGTACCACCAAAGTGTCATCGTGATTGTCGAATATCGGGTGAGGTATCGTAATTATGAGACTCATGTATTTCTACTGTACCGAAGAAAAGCTGACATAATGTGTCAGGGTATCAATCGTGATGGCAAGGTTTAAACGTTAGGTCCCTTTGAAATGTGCCCGCCCTTTCGTTTCAACGACCTTGAACGGCTTGACTAGAGGCGGTCATTCCGTATTTCAATTGCCGTGGGTTGGTTGGATTGCATGAGTACCAAGTTTTTTCATATATAAGTCATGTTATGCTACATAAAAAAGCACGAAATAAATACCAAAACCATTTATTTAGCGTTCTCTGTTTTGTAGTGTACACGTTGGCTCTGTTGTTGCTTTGTAATTTGATCTTTGATCCCAACAACTGTAGTAAAGCTCAACGAAATGTCAAGTCACAGGTAAATCCTAAGTATTTGTAGTATTTTCTTCGGTTATTATTGTCGCAAGGAATAACCTTTTAATAATTAGTCATTTCTGTTTTTAGTGCTTCATGCTCAAGTGACATTTCAGTCGACCTAACCGATGCCTTTCGAAGCATGATACTGAACAAGCGTTTCGTCTTGTGGGATGATTTTGAAAGCGCCTTAAAAGAGTTCCAAAAAGTATGGAATTATAATTTTATCGCTTCTCAGACTACTGCATGTTTACTTAGGTGGTGAGCACAAAATACGTCAAACTGCTTATAAATTGAAATAAATACTATCTTCCAATCACAAAGATTACGAGAAGTCACGTATGATGGAAAAAGGCTGTTAATAGCTGATAAATAACGAAACATAAAATCCACGACAATATGTTACATGTGCGCGAAAACCCGTAAACTAACACGCATAGTGTGCCATACTAGGCAGTCGCCCTGTAAACCATTTAACCAAGATTCTTGAATTGTGATGACACCACAATTACGATACATACTTTGACTTAGTAGCAATTGCAGATAGTCTACTTTGTTGATTAGTGATCGGTAGATAGAATTTAGAAGCTCGGGAATCGACATACGATCAATTTCTTTTATAGTACGTTTTTGTAACTTGTGCAGCGAAAGGGCAGGCAAGGTAAAAACGGTAATCCCCCTCAAATCTGTCCGCCGTTTCGTTTCAACGACCTTGAACGGCCTGGTTAGAGGCGGTCATTCCGTATTTCAATTGCCGTGGGTGTGTTGGGTTCATATGGTTGTAGACGGAATAGAAGAAGCTTTCGCTTAACAGGATTCCATGTCTATTAGCAGGGGATCACGATTAACTCCAGGCAGAAACCTAGGTATGTTAACAATAAAAGAGGAAAAGAAATTAGTAAATCATAGTGTGATACTATCCTTAGTCCTTAAGAATAGATCAAGTTGTCTACTAAAGGACTCCTGGGAAGTCACTTGGACTAGCTCGGCCGACAGCGAATTCCAGCATTTGACAACTCTTAAGGAGTAGAAGTTGTGTCTACAGTACGTTCTGCTATGTTGTGTCTCCAGTTTTTGGGTGTTACCTCTTAGGTTAGTGTTGGAACTAAGCCTAAGTAGGTGTTTGAGAGGATGTCCAGAAGTGTTAAGGATACTGTAAGCCATCATAACGTCACCTCTAAGACGTCTTCACTCTAATGGGTAAAGGTTAAGTGATTGAAGCTCTCTATAAGGTTTGAATTTGAGTCCTCGAACTGATTTCGTGGCTCGCCGTTGGATACGCTCCAAGGTGTCCTTATCCTTTTGCAATGAGGGGGAAAATACTATGTTTCCGTACTCTAAACTGGTATGTATGAGTATTAAGTTTTTCCATATTTAAGCCATCTTTTGCTGCATGAAAAAGCATAAAATAACTGCTAAGAGCGTTAATTTTAGCAATCTTTGTTTTGTAGTGTACACGTGAGCTCTGTTGTTGCTTCGTAACTTGATCTATCGTCCCAACCCGAGCTTCCAATTCTGGGTTTTTTTTGGGAAACTCCCGAATTTAAATGACCCTCACCAATGTTTGGGAAAATCCCCAAAGCCAAATGGCCTTGACCAAGGTTAAAGGGAAATATTGGGGATTTTCCGCAGCTCTGGGGAAATTTTGGGGTTGTGCCATTTCTTCAAAGTTTACTATAGCGGCTTTCCCAAAATTGGGAGCTTGGGAACTGCTGTAGTAAACGTCAACACCTTTATATAATTTGTTGATAAGGTCCAGAAAACAAAGTAAGAAAGATAACGTTCAAAGTCATAGATACGCAGAGTTTTTGTGAGTCGCTGTTAAACAAAAAAGTTAGGACGAAATGTCAACTCAATGGTAAGTCCTAAATATTTGTTGTGCTTCTTCCAGTTAGTTTTTTTTCAAGGAATAACTTCTAATAATTAATGCATGTTGTCTGTAGTGCTTCATGCTCAAGTGAAATTTCAGTGGACTTAAGCGAGGCGTTTCAACGTATTATGATGGACAAGCGGTTCGGAAGCTGGCTTGAATTTACACTGCGCTAAAGGATTTCCATAAAGTATGGAAGAATAATTCTATGTTTTCTCAGACTACCCATACGCAGTATGTTCACGCAGAAAGTGAATTGTTGAAAGATATGAGATATAAATACTTGTTTGTGACGTTTCATTGCACGTTTGATCGTAAACGTAAGTCATAAGATCCGACAGTGAATAAAAAACTGTGAGGACTCTAACTAATCTGTGACATTTAAGGTCTAAGTTTTTAATCTGTCAATCTAGGTTTCGTATAAGATTGGAAGCTCAAGAATACGTCATAAAATCTTACAACTTGTCTCACAACCATCCTTGTAGTAGTTCATGGATGGTTTGTGATCCGTGGAGTAGAAGATTGTCGTCCAAAGAAAAAGAAACCTTGAAGCCAGTGATATTGCATCTCAGTCAACAGATGGAGCTATAGAAAGTATTGAGGAAAAAACTGGTAATCAGGTTACCGCTGCTGGTGTCAAAGCTATGAAAGCTAAACTCTTCACTGGTAAGTGTATAGAAATATATTCCAGGTTGTGCTCGAGAGCAGGTAATGCATTTGCTGCAACAAAACGGTGACG